GCACGTTCATGCGCGTTGTGCACATTTTTTGATGTGCTTTTGTACGCGCATACATGAATACGCGCCTTTTGACTTGCAGGTTATGAAATGGACAAACGCGCATTTAAACACGGAAAAATGCGCACAAAAATGTGCAACATGCTTCTGCCGCATGCTTTCAGGTGTTTCCATTGGAGTCTATGGGGCACAAACACGCTTTTAACTGCCCAAAGAAGCTCATGTGCCGTTTCGGGCCTTTGGCATGTTCCTGCTCAGGTGTGAACAGGGGCCGTAGAAAATCATGGGATTTCTTGTGTTGGGCATTTAAAAGTGATTTTCCAACTGCTCAAGAACTCCTAGGTGTGAACCAGGCCTTAGGATGGCAGCCTTGGAAGAATATTTGTCATAAGAGAAGCATTTCTGTCCAGTTCCTCGGAAAATTGCCTCTAACTTAGAAAATGTCTGAGTCTGTGCTCTGAAACAAGCAGAGATAAAGATTGCTCGCACATTTCTTTTCACTTGATCTGCACACTTTGTGTGGTTGTGCAAGTAGTATTTTTAGAAGGTAGTCAGGAATAAAGACAAATCATATAAATATAAGAGGCATGTGTATTTTTACTTGCATCTTGGTTTGCTTTGTGTTATCCTTCCAGATGTGGGCAGTAATCCATCATGAAACTTTGCCTCTATGTAGGAACTTCCTGTAATCAAGACCGGTCACTGCTGTTCTCTCTTCTTGTGCAGGGTGACTGGCCTTGTATGCACCCGTGCCTGTAGTTTTCTTGCAGTTAGCCTGTAGTGAGATGTCCTGCTGGGACCCCTCCACAACCTATGCGCAGCACAGTCATGATGTCACTACTATTTTTATAGGTAATAACTGGGTCTGTAAAGGCATTTGGTTCACACAAAGTGGAATCATATTCTTTGTGGCTATTGACATATATTAAAATAAAAGTTTCTGTGCCCGTAGTTCAGCTTTAGGACCAATAGTATAAGGGTATTTAAGGTTCCTTGTACTTCTTTTATTGGAAGATCCAGGGTAATGCACTGTCTATTAATTATAACAACCCTGGGAACAGTGTTTGCCATTTAGTGTAGATATGAGTTGTTTTAGATCTTAGCTGGTCAAACTATGGCACTTTCTTAACCGTGCCCTAACACATAAAAGAATGCTAGGACTGCCAATCAGAAGTCGCGTGTTGTTGTTTTGTTTCCACAAAGGCATTCTTACAGTTCATTTCCACATGCCCTTTCGGCCCAGTTACGTATGGTGTTCTTTTAACATTTTACTGGTACCAGTTAAACAGCAGACTCAAAGTGTTATTTCTGGGGAGTTTTACAACTTACACATTAACATTTACTCATCCTAAATCAGTCGTGGCTTTGTTGGATTACCTGAATAGACTTCAGTAATAAAGAAACTACAGAATGTTAGTTTCTATTCTACCAAATTCATTATTAATGTATTATAAACTGTCCATACAAACCAGGTTTATGGGAAGCCTGCCATCTAGTGGATGCATGGAGGAATTCCTCTTTTACCACAAAACACAATTTGGCACCTAAACTGTACTGACACAAATACATTGAGTCATTGCCAACCTCTCCTTATATAAATGCTAGTTGCCTAACTGTACAATGACTTTTACAACTTCCAAGTCACTGACCCTAAACAAACGCAGATCAGGTGCTTTGACTTCATTTACAATGCATTTTTTTAAATGTCAGTCAAGTATTTTGGATGACCAGCTTCAGCAGTGGCAATCTACATATTTCTCTAAGTACAGGCTTTCTTTACCTGCTAAAGGTGCCCATACACTGCACGATTATCGTACGATAATCGTATGCGATCGGGTTTTCGTACGATAATCGAGCAGTGTGAACGGAGACGTGCGACCGTTTCTACTGTACGGTCGCACGTCTTCTGTCGAACCAGCATGTTCGAAAACCAGCCGGGAATCGTACGATTCTCGGCTGGTTAGAACGGTGCTCGGAAGATAAATGCTGAACGGGCCGGTGTGCGCACGCGCACACTGCCCGTTCAGCATTGCGGTCATCGGAAGCCCGCCCCTCAGGAGGGCGGGCTTGCGATGATCGAGAGTGCGATCTGCCTGTCCAAGATAGGCAGATCGTACGTTTTTTTAATCCCTTTACAACCATCGCAAGACTAAAGTCTTGCGATGGTTGTAGAGTGTATGGCCACCTTAATAAGCATCCTTAACCTCCTACCTTCAAATTTTAGTGCCTTAAAGGAATAGCAAACTATATATGACACAAGTAAAGTGAAAAGGTTTTTAAGCCAGTTCAAATGCTAATTAAATCATTTATAGGGGATGCCGCTTCTTGATTTTTTTTTGTGGAAAGTTTTAGTTTCCTGGTCCATTGAGCACTGGCCCCGATGGGCTGTTTTACAGTGACTCCTTTGCCTTGCAGGGTCCTATGGAGACATATAGGGTTCTGACAAACTGTGTGTGTGTCCACAAACACACAGGCAATGCATGGCAAGCCATTCCTCTGCTCCTCACTGATAAACATTTGTTGGAAGTTGTACTTAGCAGGAAGTTGAAGCCCGCTGTTTGGAAACAAGATGACTGTAAATACTTGAGCAAAAAAAAACAATTTGCTGAGCAATGCATATACGTTTCATCTGGATTAATTATTGGAAAAAACAAATTAAGAGTTTAATACTACTTTAACTACAAAAGAGAAACGCAAAACATAAAACAAAATGAATTCGATTGGTTTCCAGTTCTGTACAGAAAAAAAGTAATCACTACAGTAACTTTATCTCTGGTATCTTAACCCTGAATTCACACAGCTGTGTTGTGGCAATGCATGGAATGTGCAATAGAGCGCTGCAAGTGTCAGTCGTTCTAAAAGAGACCACGACGCATCAGTGATGCAGCACAACACAACACACTGTAATCCACTACCCTGTGTTGTGGTGCATTATGTTCCTACAAAAAGTCTATTCAAATGAAGGGGCTCCCTAACGCCATGCACGGCCTAACGGGCATTACAGTCTGGTAGGGTTTAGGCCTTCTTCACCAGGATCATTCTTAGAAGAATTTGCTTTAAGTGTCTAATTTTGTTTTTCTACCTACAACAATGCAAACAGGTCTATAAAAGAGAAATAAAATGTGAGACTTCAAATTAAGCTTTAAAAAAGGTAGTGATCAGCAGATGGGACTGGCCTCCACACCAGTGCTTAGTAAAGCTGGCTACACACGGAGATATTTTTTTGTTTTGTTCAGCTTGCGAGGCTTAATGAAAAACAAAACTGTGATTCCTCCATGCACACTAACAGCGTGGATGAATCAGGGGTGTGGAATTCGTATCGCCCGACTCCCGGGCAAGTGCTTTTTTCGCTGTCTTAGCCCTGCTACGGACAAGTAGCAGGGCTGGTTTTCTTTTCCTAAAATGAGCGCCGAGAGCGGCGCTGCGAGCAGGGGACGTGGAGCGCCGAGAGCGGATGGGCGGGGACGGAACGTGGAGCGCTGGGGGCGAGGACGGAGCGTGGACAGAGCAGGAAGCGTTGAGAGCGGGGAGCGGGGACAGAGCAGGGGTGTGGAGTAGTGACAGGCTCCGTCACCTCCCATAGCCTCTGTCCTCCGCGGCCGCTGCTCGTTCCTGTCAGACTCACAGGAGTTCTAGCAACAGTGCTGTGCTAGAACTCCTGTGTTGGAGGTGACAGGTTCAATAAAGAGTACCTGTCCCCTCCAAATGCTATCACACAGGGGATTGTTAATCCCTGTGTGATAGCAATACAGTTAAGTTTTAAAAAAATAAAAAAAAGGAAAAAATATTAAAAATGTAAAAAAATTAAAAAAAGGCGATAAAGTAAAAATAAAAACAAATGGCATTTTTTTACAAGTAAATAAGTAGATTGCGCGTTTACCTGCTGCAATACCGCCCGGGCGATCACACACGATCATAGTTGAAAACACTGCGCGGTACATGTCGTGAAAATAGGTAAATCTACCTTTTTTTCAGCGATTGTCACGCAGATGTAACCCCATACATGCGGATGCAACCGCTGTATGCAACCACACACGATCGCACGTCCCGGGAATCCAAGTCTGCACCCTAAAGGGTATATTCACTTTCCCCAAGTAATTTGGGAAATGGATTTACCAGCACAAATCTCCCTCCCACTATACTTACCTTTCGGCGAACGGTCCTTCCCGTCCACCAGTACGGGTGTACCATCTGTACCTGTTCCATGTATTCTGAATTTCGCTCGCAAATTTCAAGCACTCGTTGGTCAGCGCAGTCACCTGACAGCACTGACCAATGAGAAGCGCTTCTTAGCGCCGCTAAATACGGTTTTGGTTAAAATATTTTTTTTTTGTATCAGGACAAGTAGATTGTCATGAGGGACAAGTAGATTCGGCCCCCGCTTTAGTCCTTGGACAAGTAGTTTTTTCAAAAATTTCTACACCCCTCTGAATGAATCTCCCGCTGCATACATTGTATTCCGACAGTGGCGCCCGCACAGTGCTTGCAATTGATTGGCTACAAGCACTGTTTGGCCAATAATTTTCCAGCATGCCCCTTCAACATGTATAAACACAATCTGACCAAAAAGGTGTAAATCATTTATTGTATGCAAACCAGTTAGAAAGTTTGCATACCATAACTGATCTTGTGACAAAGGTTTCAGTTACTCCTGAACATGGAGTTTAATAAGAATTATTAATGTTGCAAGTTACCCTTGTCCGTGGCTGCCACCATGAGTTCTATTGCTTTACACTTTAGAAGATGTGTTTCTGCTGCCAGGCACACTTTCAGTCCAAGAGTGCTGTTTTGGAGCAAGGATACTGCAGTAGTCACCCCCACATCCCTATGGATATTTCCCAGTACACTGCACTCAGGACTGGAAATAAGCTGCACAGTATGAGCATTGCAGCCCTTAAAGCTGACGCAGTATCTCTGGAGGCAGAACTGCTTTCCTTTAGATGTATTGCTCTCATGGAGGAATCGTATTCTGCACTATGGCTACAAAGAAAGTCAGCAAGGAATCTGTACACCATATTGGATAGTTTTATTTGAAAACAGTGTTTGGACTGCTCACATTGGTCAATAGATGACAGCATAATGTAGAATATCCTAATAAAAAAAATCCAATACATTCATCACATTTACTCAGCTGGCTCAGCCATTATGAAAGAAAAAAAAATGGATTGCATTGCTCGTGTAACAGGATGGGTGCAATTTGTTCCCCCCCCCCCAAATAACCAGGGAGACTAAACACAAAATAAAAAAATAAAAAGATTGTGGCTTCTTACCAGTATTTACAATGATGCTGTTACCCACATGGCCATTACATTTCTAAATAAAACGTTTTATTGCCAAGTGTAGTTTTTCTCTTTTTGTAGATAAAACATGTCTCTTTATTTTGGTAGGAAAATTAGGCGGGGTATTTTCAAGATGTACAGGAACAAATATATAAAAAAATCAAGTTAGGAAAACATCGTAATAACTTAATAGCTCATTGTGGTCTTATAGGTATCAGGAAATGGGACAGAAATATGGCCTGATCCAGTGACCAAAGGAAGGATGCCGGCATTCGGGACAACGTTCCAAGACAGTGTCAGCGTTATATTACGATTACCCCTAGAAGAAAACAACAGAAGATTATCAACACGAGAATCCACAGTAGCATCTGGTATCAAAGAACGGTCCTATGTAACAATATACATGTTCAGCTCGGCAGCACGGTCCAGCTCATGTCAAAGGATAGTGAAGGACAGAAGTGGCACTGGCAAACAATGTCATCATTCCTTTTTCTGATGAACATCTGGGACTTCAAACCAGCTAAATCTAATGCTGCCCTAAAAGCAGCCTGTATGGTAGGAGGCCTCAAACACAAAACTGTAGCACAATCTGGTGATAGGTGGGTAAGTGTAACCTGCCTAGGTATAGCATTAAGTAAGCATCTCCCAAACTTGCCAAATCCTGGGTAATCTTAGAAGGGGCTTGTTTACATTCCTTTGGTAGGCCATTGTCCTTTTACCAGAAGTGATTCAGGTGGCTGTAAAGCTCGATCACATCTATAACTGCAATCAGTTTGTTGATCATCCCCTGCAGTGAATGAAGCATCAAGCTTTTCATCATTGCATCATTGCTGGTTTTAGCACTGTCACTCCCAGGACTTTATGGCCGAGGAAGAAGCTAATCAAGTATGATCAGTGTTGAACTTCAATGGGGTGCACAGGTGACATTAGAGTGTCTAATGCACCCCCAATGTCTCTCAAGAGAATTGTCAGCCCCTTATGTGATGGCAATAAAGTTAAAAAAAGTTCCTGGAATCTTATTGTTTCTACATAATATATCGTGTAAGGAAGGAAATGCTAAAAATAAATACTGCAGATATTTCCCTATATAGTATCACCATGATTGTTCAGTAATGTGCAGAACAAGGAACATCAAATGATGATAATTAAACAGCGCCACTTTTAAGTACTTCTGACATCATGATCCTGTACAGAACCCTCCCGTCTGTCACCACAAATCAATCACAGAACATTCTAGTGCCAAAGAGGAAACAGAAATCCGCTTTTTCTGTCAGGTTTCACTTTATAAATTCTATCTCTTGCACTCGCATCTTGAGGAGAGCACATCTTAATAAAAACAATATATTTTTTCCAGATGCTTACTTCAGACCGTTTCCATCATCGAAGAAAAAATACTTTGATTTCATCTCCTTTAAGGACAACTTTGGGTTATCGCCCCGGAGGATGATCTTGTCCCATAGCACAACCTGGTTTAAGGCCTAGGATGAAATCAGCAAGAAATCCAGCATTAATATTCCACAGGTTTGATCACAGAGCATACAAAGAACAATTTACATTGAAGAAAAAAGTCTACATAAGAGTTGTGCAAAGTACGGTCAATACCATATTATTAGATTTATATCCAAAGTTCCAAAGCCAAAATTGCAATTTTCAACACACCATGCACATTACAAAATAATAGTCCAAATTCTGCTTAAAAACAGTAAAACACCTTTCATCCACAGTATTATTATTGGGATTAAAGAACAATAGTTAATTCTAAATTATAATTTTTAAAGTAGAACACCAGCAAAACCCATTAAAAAATAAATAAATAAATAAATGATACAATAGGACCTCTGCCATTTTCTTATTACCGATTGTCATCTCTGCTGTAAAGATTTTACCTTCCTGCTCTGGTACCTGTGTGTGCAGTGACCAATAAAGTCAGTGACGCAGAGAAAAGCAAAGCTGTCAGGCATGGAGCTTTGCGTGCATTGCGTGATCTAAAGATAGATGGGATAGATGGGATAGATGGGATAGATAGATAGATAGATACATGAATGAATGAATGAATGAATGAATGAATGAATGACAGCACCCTCAGCCAATCGGCTCGCGCGTATGAACCCGTGCCAGGATACGAAGTCCAGCCGGTTGGCACGCTCAGCTATGGGAGCTCTCGCAAGCCGACGTGCGGCAGAGAAAATTACATGACACACTGCACGCAAAGGCAGCACACGCCACTGCTCCACACACTCACAGCCTTAAGTAGTCATGGAGTCAAAGTGACACTAAACTCAGGAGTTACATCCTAAAACTGCAATCCAGTAACTTAATGAACAAAAACAGATCTTATGTGTGCATCACTTGCTTGTAGATCCTGAAATCATCTCTGAATTCATACTGACACTGTCCCTCCTTCTGGAGGGTGGCTACTTTTGTTCCCCATGGTCCCTTTGTGTGTTGTAAAGTAGCCCCCAATCCAAGCTTGCTCCCATGATAGACTACAATCTCAATACAAAATTAGTAAACTAAACATGAGATTGTAGTCCATCACGGGAGTGAGCTTGGAGCCGTGGTTACTTTACCACACACACAGGGACCATGGGGAACAAAAGTAGCCACCCTCCAGAAGGAAGGACAGCGTCAGCACCAATTCAGAGACAATTTTTATATAATACGCTTAATGTTTATAGTAGAGGACAGCCCAAAACTTTGTTCAGTTTTGAAGAGTGTAGAAGAGTAGAAACTGAGGTTTCAACTGCTGTCTGATGACGAAGAGTGAAGCCTAGTGTCAAGATGGTACAATTTTATAGCGCTGACATGAAAGTGGCATCATCACAGGCTACCCTGTTGATGGAGAAGGAAGACATAGGCAGCAGGAGAAGCTTCTGTGATAATGCCACCAGTGACTGAGGAGCAGAATGAGATAGCATGGAGCTGCATTAGGGAAATAGGACAAATTAATAGTTACATTTGCCATAATGTTGCAAGCATGCTTTAGTTTCAATTTAACTCCCAGTCCAAGATGGTAGCAATAACTGGGACATTTAGCCCACTATATGCTGAGTTTTGGGTCGTGGAAGGACATTGGTGTATGTCCTCCTGTGACCCTAAAGAGAACTATGGCAAAAAACAAAAAAGTTGGCCCATAGTTCTCTTAAGGTATAGAGGAGTATTCAGGTACATTGAGACATCCAAAAACATGCCAACTAAGGGGTGGGAAACATAGCAACCAAATGCTAACAGGCCCCTGTGAACAACAGAAACGGCTTAACAGGACTAACAGAACCACTTGAATAATCTTATGACAGAAGCTGGCATCATATGAGGCTGAATATCCACCTGGTAAAACTTGAAGTTTTGAATAGAAGACAAGATGGAAGCTATGCAAATCTGAGAAACCGATGCCTAATGGTGAGAAGCCAAGGAAGTACTAACTGATCTAGTCAAAAGGTGCTTTGACAGGGAAAGCTGGGCTTCCAAATCCACCAACAGATAGTGGAATGGGAAATGCAGGGTGTCCTCTGTGGGGACCCTGAGGAATAACAAATAAAGACTGAATATATTTAAAAGAAGCTATAGCAGAGAGGTAGACCAGTGCCTACCAACACTGGAAGTAAAACTTTTTGGGATGATGTGGAGCAGGATGTAAAACAATGTCCTGGTTAAGGTGAAAGAAAGAAAGAGACACCCTTTAGAAGAAGGACAATAGGCCTCAAAACAACCTTGTCTTTGTGTATCACAAGAAAGGGTTCTATACCGTATAAGGCCGCCAACTCAGTCACAAAGGTAATGGCCAATAGGAAGGCAGCCTTCTAAATGAGGGCAGTCAGAGGAATATTCCTGATGGGTTCAAAGGGTGGTTTCTGGAGAACCAACAGAACCAGGTTGAGATCCCAGAGTCACTGGGGAACTTGCAGGGGAAAAAAAAAAAAGAAGGAGTACACCGTGTACAAAGCTTTCACTAAGGAGTATGGGCAAGCAGTTTTTGGAAAGAATTACCAGGGCCATGATTTGCCACTTGATGGGACTCAAGGCCAAGTGCTGATCCAGACAAGACTTGAGAAAAAACTAGATCAACCACATGGAGTATATCCTGGGACTGAAAATCCTTGATTTTGGAAAATAGGCTTTCCAGGAGCGATGGTAAATTGCACAATATGTTGATTTCCTAGCTTTTAAGAGTGTAGGGATAACTGAATCAGGAAGGCCCCTATCGTGCACAACCGGGGTTTCAACAAGTCAGTGATCAAGAAGCAGGGTGGTACACAGGTCAATGGGACAGAAGATCTGGGAGGTGCACAGAGAGTCTGGCAGGAGTTTGATGAGGTTTGAGTACCACGTCCGTCAGAGCCAGTTCGGTGCAATGTGAATCAACAGAACTGCCCTCAATCTCAATCCTGCAAAGCAGGCGAGGAAGGAGCTTCGGAGGAAAGGTGTAAATCAGGCTAAACTGATCCTGCACAAGCAGGGCATCCACTGTGATGGCTAAAGGATCTCTGGACTTGAAGACAAAGCTGTTAAGTTTGTTGTTTAAACTGGAAGGACAGAAGGTCCACATCTGGCATCCGCCCACTGGGACAGATGTTTTTAAGCACCTTGAGGTGCAGAGACCACTCTCAAGAGTCTAGACACTGATAACTGAATAAGTCCTTCTGCCAATTTTCCACTCTTGGGATGTGTACAACAGCCAGGACTGGAACATGACGTTCTGCCCAAGCGAGAATCAGGGCTGCAAGGCTTCCGGTATCTACCGGACACTGGATGCAAGCTACTGCAGTGGCATTATCCAGCTAAAACCTGGTCAGATGACTTCGCAATTGTGAGGTCCAGTGTTAAAAGGATAACCAAATCACTCAGAGTTCCAAAATATTTATGGGGAGACAAGTATTCTCCGGCAACCAAGTACCTTGCACTGAGAGCATCGAGGACTTCACCCCAGCCCAACATGGGCATCTTTCATGAAGACCTTTCAGACCAGTGCAAGGTAGGATTCCCCCCAACTCCAGCCCTGGATTTGTGATACACCAAGCCAGAGTAATCCCAGTTATGTGGTGATCCATCCAATGAGCCTGCCTGTCCCACAATACAGAAAAGTTGACCTGAAATGATCAATGCGGCTCTGCAGCAACCTAAGAATCTTACCAAAAGAAAAATATCTTGATAAAAAAGGAAGAAGTGGTTTGCTTCTCTCAGAGAAGAGAGAAGACATCTATTCTTTTAGGACACTAACAAAAAACTGAAGCATGATGAGTGGAAGGGCTTATACTAGGCTGTCTTACAGATTTGTCAGTATAAAATCTCCTAACGTTCGCTGCATAACCAAATGTACCTGAATGATCCTGTGGTCCTTAATGTACAATTAAAGAAAAAAAATTGCTAGGGAGCAGATTTTTTTTGGTAGAAGATACTTGTATGCACAGTCTACTTTTTTAAGATGCTGTGTGTGGGGATGGGTGCCAGGAAACTCCTACACACATACATGAAAATGACATGATTTGGCACCCAATGGCAAAGGAAAAAAAAAAAAAAAAAAAGATAGTTCAGATGAACACGAGGCAGATCAGCAAAAACAAACCTGTCATTTCTGGAGGAGAGCAAACTAAGAGGCAAGTCTGCCATGATGTGCAAGGCCAATACTGACAGGTCAAAGCACTGTCATATACCTAAAGTTGCGGGAGTTAGCCAAGAACCATGCCAGGGGGTTGGCTATATGCAAATACCTATAATCAGAAAGGACACTCATACTTACATTACTTTTAGTGGCATATTCTGCAGACAGATATATGAACAGCTGCTTAACATTCCAGTCAAATATTGGCTGCAAATGTAAGATAATTAAGAAAAACAACAAAATGTTTGGAATAACACCTTACAAAGAGCAACTGTTTCTCCACGCAGCATTGATCCGCTGTTACGCTTTCAGTATCTTAAGCTAATGGAGCAGAGCAATTTCACATGTAAAATCGTACAATTATAGGTGCCATAAACCATAACCAAACTTGCATTTTTAACCCCCTGTACAAGCAGCACATAGTCACATAGCTACAATAAAAATGGCATTGTAAACAATATACTAAACTTCTGTCTCATTGCTTTTCTCATACGCCTGCACTGAGGTACCCTGTGGTAGGAGTTTCATTTTGGCAAGATATTATCTAAGGCTCATCCATGCCTAAAAGGCACTGTAGCTTTACTAATACCAAAAGTCTTACTATGTATATTTGTTTTGAAAGTCTTTTTTTTTGTTCCCATTTCTTTTAAGGCAGTCTTTCTCAACCAGGGTGCCGTGGCACACTGGATTGCCTTTTTGTTTCGTTGGGGTGCCCTCAAATTTTCACTAAAGGGGAGGGGGACACCGACGTGCAGGGAGCTTCTATATTTATTAGTGTTGCTCCTTGAAATGCTGCATGGTTTAAAAAAGTGCTCTTAACTGAAAGTAGAGAAACACTGGTTTAAGGAGAAGGAAAGCATACAAATTTGAATGCATTCAAATTATGGGGGACAGCAGTGGCATAACTATCACCATAGCGACCCAGGCGCCCGACATGGGGCTTGGCCAGGAAGAGGAACAAAGGGGTCCCCCTGACGCCGTGTGGGCCGCCAGGTTCAGTGATCTGCGCAGCAGCGCGCTCTTCCTTTAGACGCTGCTGAGTCAGTGAGAGCCAGCAGCGGAGGAGGTGGCGGGGCCCGGCGTCAGCAGCGGAGGAGGCGAGGCCTGCCAGCGACCATGAAGGAGAAGGCTGGACCCAGCGTCAGCAGCGGCGGGGCCCGGCATCAGCGGAGGAGGCGCAGGGCCTGCCAGCGACCATGAAGGAGGAGGAAGCGTGGCCCAGTGGTGGAGGAGGCTGACAGGTAAGAGGTGTGCAGAGGTGTGACCAGCCCACTTGAGACCCTGCAGAGCCCACCGTAGAGAGTCTATGGTGGGCTCTCCCCTGGTTACACTCAGGTGGGCTCTTGCAATGGGCGTAACTAGAAGTTGCATGACCCCATACAAAAATTTTGCTATGGGGCCCTGTGATTTCTAGTTACGCCCCTGGAGGACATATATGCATTTTGCTGCTTTTGTTTTATTTGTTACTGACAGCTTATTCCGGTAAAAATGTTCTTATTTGCCTCCATTTGTCAGCGTATGAAGATTGAAATACGCACTCTTATTACAAAACACTAAACTCAGAACAGAACCCATTACTGTGCAGAGGGGTACAGCCCACAAGAGGAGGAACAAAGCCTTTGTGTGTGTGTCTAAAGTCCATTCTACTAAGGACATGGCTTATAGACAAGATGTCTGCTGGGTCACCCAATGAAGGTTCTCAAATTTATATTACTGCTGCATCTTACCGTTTCCTGACCTGAAGATCCAAATAAACAGCAATGGCTCAGTGAAATCACACCGCTTTACTCTAGATTTTAAAAAAAAAATGGAAACCCCCTTTTTTATATATTCATTACACTCAAACTTCTGCCAAAGCAGCCCATGGAGAAAAAACATGGCTCTGCAGCCTGGGGAATATAAAATCCACAAGACTCAGGCTTATCACATATGCTGTGATAAGACACCTCTAGATATTCAAACTTCAGGAAAACACACGTTTGAGAACCTTTCAAGACATATTTCATATCTGTCTCCTTTCATTACAGTATTCTTGCCTTTGTAAGCCATTTAAAAAGCAATGTTCTAACATAACATCATGAGAAAAAAATTGTGTTTTGGCAGAGCAACATATCTATCCAGAGTAAAGTAAACTCGGCTGCAATCATTTGCTGTATTCTTGGCAAAGATAACAAAAGTCAACAGAACCTTGGGATTTTGTGCCTGCAGAACATGCTATCAAAAGGGATTAAGTTTATCAGCATTCAGACATACAATGTGTGTGTGTGTGTGTGTGTGTGTGTGTGTGTGGGTCATACAATAGCACATATAATAGCATTCTGCGTGCTTCATAAAAGGATATCTGCATTTATATCAAATATGATGAATCCAAGGTCACTCCTTTCTCTTGGGCCAGTGAAGTCTTCCACGTTCTCTCTAAAAAGACAAGATCATAAAACATTACAGATGGCCAAATAAGGTTTTCATCAATAGCAGAATATTACATTCAAAACTTAAAGGAACTTTCAGCTCCATTTACCTTTCCTTACAAAAATCCTGGAGGTGATTTATGAAAGACTATATTCTCCTTAGCGCAGCATTCCTAGTAAACACACAAGCATGTGCAGAGAAATTAAGTAAGATGCTTTGCATGTATTTGGGTGACTGGCATGTAAGCAGCTTCACTGACCTGGGTAAAAAAAAGTACTCCTTTAGAAGTTTGACCCCAATGACCCGAGCGTACACAGAACTTCCATATCACGTGCTGCACATACATGCCAGTATCGTGTCACTGCTCCACTGATGTAGCTCATGTAATCAGCCAATAGGAACACCACCTAATCCATCTTCCCTACGGTGCCATACCTCAGAAAAGGACTTCTTTTGGCAGGACTAACAGTCTGCAGGTCATCCAGGAAAGGAAGGCTTACATCAAATCTGTCAATTCTGAGATATTCAATCACTTTCATGCATTTCCCATTTTTTTTTTTTAGCAGGAGCTTGGGTATTTTTAGCCCAACATTAGCTTAGGCTAGATTTCAATTAGCTTAGGGCCCCTTTCTCATTAGCCCGGCCACTAAAACGCTGCATTATAGAATACGGCTAGTGCGCTGTGCCAGCTCTGGCAGTGTGCGTTGCATCGCACACTGCCGGAGCGCTCACTGTTTACACACTGCCATGTGATGACCTGCAGTGACATCCAGTGCGCTGTGAACAATACAGCACGACTGCATTTTCCCCGCACTGCACCACCCAGCACACTTGCGTTATGGTGTGAAAAGAACACATACAACTTGTGTGTCCTTACGTTGACCTGCGTTGTTCTGGTTTGGTAAAATTAAGGGCACTGTGGTATCTGTGTCCATGCTAAATTATCCAGCCTACATGTCACATCTGCGTCAACATTCACTCCAACCCCCTTACCTGCTCCATCAAAGGTAGGCCCATATGTTCCGGGAGAAATAGGTACCAAAAAGGTAAACGCTTATGTTTATTTTTTTAAGGTGCACATATTTGGCCATTTTCATTTCCGTTTTATGAAAAAAGTAAACACTGGACTTAACGCTTTCACTGCCACTCACGCATGTCATACGTCGCTGGCAGTGGGCCCCTTTAAACAGACTCCCAGCAGCTGTGTACATGTGTAAAGCAGAATGTCGGCTTTACACTGGAAGCGATTCCGGCTGCTGAGCTGCCGCCAGGTCACTTTCAGGGGCCGGTGTAGTGCGATACCTTGCTTCCCAGGTTATGCTACCCCTCCTGTAAGCCTGGGACTGGCATCATGGGTGTCGCCAGGAAGCAAACCAGTGAACGTTCGTTAGCTGATCTCCCCGCTGAATGGGGCCAGAAGTGATGCTGGCTGCATCACTTCCGGCCCACTCAGCTGTCATTCCCCACAGATCATGCTCCAATAGCTTCTTTGGAGTGGAAAGGTGACACTAGGGTTCTAACAGACCTCTAATGTCACCTTAAAGAGCACCTGTCATCATATAATGATACATATAACCTTATGCATGCGATAGCATTAAGTAAAAAAAAAATATAATAATAATTATACAAGGCGAGAGCAATAGTTCTGGGGCCAATATTCACTGCTATCTGTAAACTGATGAAATGTAGGGGCTTTTAAAGCCTCGCTTATGGACTATTTGGGGTACAGTATTTTGATGGTTTCACGCACTTTTTAATTTTGGCTTGTTGGGTATCTATTTACTTGGCATAACCGCATCTTTTATACTTGACAAAATTTTTTGGAGATAATATTTTGATTTTGGGCACTAACTGTATTTACCGAAAATTTGGGGTTTGATAAAGACTTGCGCTAATATCATGCGACATAGAAATTTGCAACTGCCACCATTTTATTCTACAGAGTCTTTGCTTTCAGACTATATATAATGCTTTGGGCAACATCTAGTTTTTTTTTTTCCCCTTTTGAGATAAAGGTCTTATATAAAAAAATAAAAGCTGACCACTGTAAGCACCCCCGTCAATGATAATTGTTTATTCCAATCCTCTAGCCGCTACTTTTGCTGGACAGCTTGGTCTGTTAATGGAAGTCGAAAAAAATCAGACTTACTGACTAGTTCACCGGGTGAAAATAAAGGGGAAAAAAATAACTAAAAGAACCACACACATCTAAGAATTGGTAAGATGCAGTACATTACATTTTTGATTTTGGGGTTACATAGTATTTGCGGTTGAATAAAGACATATGTGCATCGAGTCCAACCTATTGTGTGTATGTGTATGAGCCTACTGATGTATGTGTATGCATGGGATCCTGTGTGTTGTCATTTTTAAGGGTACTTGTACCCCTGTATATTACGGTCTCTGAGGAAATCGTCCAATCGCCTCTTGAATGATGCCACCCTTTCATCACAGCATGTGGCAGTGAGTTCCAGACCCTGACCGATCTAACGGAGAAGAAACCCCTGCGCCCCTTGTGCTGAAATTTTTTCTCCACCAATTTTAGGTGGTGGCCTCTCGTCCTTGTCATGGAGTTCATTGTAAAAAGTTTACTGCTAATGTCGCTAATCCCCGGTGAACATTTTGTACATGAAAATCATGTCCCCCCTTAATTTCCTTACTTCCAATGAGAACATGTTAGATTTGCTTTAAGTGTGCAGAAGTTTTACATCCTCCAACCTACCTGAACCGTTTCCCAACAGTCAGGGCTGATGCGACTATTCTCACTCCATACACAATGAGGCTGTTGCACAACCAAAATCATTGGGATAAAAAAAAAAAAAAAAAATGCACACCTTTTCTTATACTGGTAATCACACACATATAAAATCATCCCACTACATGTGCAGCAAAAACAAGACCAAGACCCACGTGCGGTCATTGAACCGATGCTATGGAAAGGCCCATTCAGACTAATCTAAAAAAGGTACCTTTCCTAGCTAATGTTAGCAAACAGCGAAAACCTTGGCGGGTCATGGGTAACCAACACCTTTCATCACAGAACCAAAAAACACCCACAAATGGAGCCATATGGACTAAGGTTCTGAATGTAATAACCTGACTACATGTGGAATGAAAATGATTGGATTGCAGCAAACAAGTGCAGACCACCAGGACATGAACTGTACAGATTAGAAAAACTGGAGCAATTCCTCCTTTATCTCTTAATACCAGGTACTGTTTCAAGAAGACATAGCTGGAGTGGTGATACTAACTGAATGTGCATGTTTTGGTTAAAAAAACAAAACCTTTGAAGAGCCCGTATGTACCTCCCACTATGTACAATCAACAATCCTAAAGCATGGGTGATTGAATTACCCATATGCGTCTGTGAAGGTTCTCATTCATCCAGGTCATGGCATATCTGTAAAGAATAAGTCAAGGCAACTAGACTTGCTGTATTTTTCTTGAAGACATTTCACTGTTCATCCTTCCTCAATTCAGAATGACTTGTACAAAAACTTATCTTGGGAATAAATATGGTGAATGTAGCTCCAATCCACGTGATGTTAGTCACAACCAGGTGTTGATTGTATTTGCATAATTGGAGTCTAGGAGGTGTTCATAACCTGTCCAGAGAGGTGTTAAAACAGCATTGTATACCTACACCTAAAAAGGAAAAAGGTCACTCCTTTGAAGACAGTCAAGTATGCATCATAGACAGGGAGGAGGACTGGTTCAAAAGAGGTGTGAAAGAGGCCGTTTATGTAAAAATGGAGAAGCCAAGCTTGAATAGAGGTGGGGTGGGAGACATCTATTGTCTGCCACATACAATGCTGTTTTAACATCTCTCTCTGGGCAGGTTAATAACACCTCCTTGCTCCAATTATGCAAATACAATCAACACCTGGTTGTGACTAACAAATCATGTGGATTGGAGCAACATTCACCATATTTATTCCCAGATAATTTTTTTGTACAAGTCATTCTGAATTGAGAAAGCTGGCCGGATGAACAGTGAAACATCTTCAAGAAAAAAATACAGCAAGTCCAGTTGTCTTGACTTATTCTTTACATATATTACCTATCTGTGCACAAATCTATCACTATAGATAATAAAAGCACCATTATCCACTCATCTAGAGCAACAAACTACCCATAAATCTTGCTAAACGGTGGCCTTCTAACCAGATGGTACAGGCATCTACACATCTATGTATCCCTACTACACAGAAACATGTATCCCTCACTCATTTTTTGATCCAGAAACGACGTGCTGATTCTAGCAATGCCGGACTCATAAACATTTATTAGGCGCAGTAGCCCATATTTACCAAAAAATGTCCACTATAGAGTAAACATCAGTAACAGGAAATCTGATTGAGTGATACGGTGCATCATTATGGTAATAGTACTTTGCTGACCTGACAGGTTACTGTAGGACAAACTAGCTGCATTGGACACGTCTCTAACCCTATACTGTGATTGGATAATGAAGAAGCAGCAGCACATTTATTATTACATCATCCCCCTGCTCTCCCCTCCTGACAGCATGTTGATTATTGGGCTGGCATGTACTGTGCAAGCAATAGATTCCCAACTTGTTCAGAGCGCTGCTCATCCATACTCCACTCTAAGTGATGTGCAGGTGTAACAGAAACCATACAGATATTTATAATCTCTCACAGATCAGAACTCCCCTGACAACACCTTCACCTGCTTTTCTCTCTCCATATGGACAGCGCTATATTTATTACAGAATCTGGACTGACATACCAAGCCAATGATGACACAACCATTTACATCTTAGTGCCCGTGCAGGTCTTGGCTGTGTTCACCAATGTATGACACAGAACAGCCTCTGCTGCTGCCTCTCACCTTGCGATCTGCAGTCCGGTCAAAATAGTGCTTGGAGCATTTTATCGCACCGGATTGGACTGCAGGCACAATGTGCCCTGCGATCCCGTGCGGGCGATCGTATTGCAGCCGGAGGGCGTGGCTACGGTGCCATTCACTTCAATGGCCCGCTACGCCCCCTGCTGCCCCACAAAAAAAGTGAGCCGGCTGCGATGCAGTGCGTTCCGGCCAGAATTGGACCGGAACGCACTGCATCTGGTGCAAACGTACCCTCAAAGTTAAGGTGTGTATTTTAATTGTTTACCTGTGGGCTGAAAATATACCAGATTCCTCCATTCACACACACATAAGCAGGAATAGAAGAACCTCCTGCTGTTTTGTATCGAATTCCGCCAATGGGCGCCGTCAGAGTGCTGTTTGGCTGCTAGCACTGTTCGGCTGAGCGTTTTCCCAAACTCCTTCGATCAGCTGATCGAGGGACGCCAGGCGGTGGGTTGCTGACATAGTGCCCCACGCACTATGCGAATTTTCACCAGTCCATCAATGTTGCAGCCTGATCACTGGGAGAGAGGAGACTAAAGAAATGCCTGCGGCAGACTGATCACATCATCCAAAGCTTGGCAAAGTCATTCGGCTGCAGTTTAAGGACTGCTTTTTAGCAGTGGATTTTTTGATGTTACAGTTGCTGTATATTGTGACACTGAAAACCATTCAAGGAAACTTGTAAAGTTATTGAACATTTGTACAGTCGTCCTACAACAGTTTTCACCGCTTCCCCCGTCTGCTGCCCACATGTTAAATTACTTACCTACAGCCCAGCTCTGAGCCACACAGCTTTCCCCCCCCAAATAAGTGGTTCACACTAGGGCTGCAACAACTAATCGACATAATCGATTAGAATTAGAAAAAAGTTGTCAATCATCGATTAATCGGCTTTTGATTGGTTGGCCCTGTTCACAGGTCCACATACGCTGCGCGCCACACCTCCTCCCCACTTCGCGCTCGCCGCTGCCAGACCTGCCCGGCCGCATCCACGCTCCACACACCGCACCTCCTCCCCGCCTCGCCCGCCCACATCCACGATTGGCACAGGGACGCGGGGAGAAGAAGTAAGGAGGAGCAGGTGTAGGAGGGTGGATGACCGTCACCGATAGACAGACCCAATCTCAGAAACAAGTTGCTGGAAGACTGCTGAGGTAAGCCTACACTTTCCCACACATTGTGCTCTATAATGTATTGCTGGGATTTGTAGTCCATTAGTAGTACATTGCGCTGTACTGTATATTATACAGAGCAATGTACCATCAGCTATAGAGGAATACAAATCCCAGCAATACATTATACACTGTATGTATAATGTATTGCTGGGATTTGTTGTATTTCTATATAGCTTGTGGTATTCTGCATTGGGGTGTATAGAGGACTACAAATCAAGAAATAATACATTATACAGCGCAATGCGGAATACCACCAGCTATAGAGCAGTACAACAAATCCCAGCAATAGTACATTATACAGCGCAAAGCCGAATACCACTAGCTATAGAGGACTACAAAACCCTGCAGTAGTACATTATACAGCGCAATGCAGAATACCGCTAATTTATAATGTACTATTGCGGGGATTTGTTGTATTCCTTTATAGCTGGTGGTATTCTGCATTGCGCTGTATAATGTACTACTGCAGGGTTTTGTAGTCCTCTATAGCCGATGTCATTCTTCATCATTGCTGTATAATTTTACATTTCACTATATTGCACACCACACTTTTTTTTGTTTTCTTTTTTACTTCCACCGCTCCAAGCTTGCTCCTGTGATGGACTGCAATCTCAATACAAACTAGTAGTCCATCACTGGAGGCATTTTTTAAAATGTATTTTATTTTGCATCCGATTAACCGATTAATCGAACTCAATAATCAGCTATCTAATCGATTTTGAAAATAATCATTAGCTGCAGCTCTAGTTCACACTGTGCATGTGTGCTGCAGTCCCATTCATCCCTATGGGAAAGCTGTACTCATGGCATGGGCTCAAGAAATCAGTTGAAAGGAGGAATGGGGCTGTGGACATGAATGAAAGGCTGTGTGGCTATGAGCTGCCAAGATGACTGGATCGGAGGTTGAGGCAAGTGGGCAACACTCAGGGGAGGAATGTATCATAGGACAAAAGATACAGATGTCCTTTAAACTGTATGCAAACCATAACAATAAACTTCTCCTAATTACTGCCTTTTGGACCAAATACCAATAACGGAAGTCCCATTAACTAAGCTGGGCGGCATGTAACGACTCGCCACCAGGCGAGTCATTACCCTCCCCCCGGCTTTCTGATTGGCCGGGAAGCCAGCTCTATGCTCCCTGGTGAAGAGGCTTTAGGCCCCATTCACACTGAGCGACACTTACCTCAAGCGGATTTCCGCGCGGCCTGGATAGCGCGACTGTTCGGGCAACGTTCCAACGACGATCGCGCAACCTTCACCGTCGGGCTGCATGCAAAAAAGAAAAATTGCACGACATCCACAGGGAAAAAGGGTCCTGCACAAGCGACACGCAACAGGCAAGCTCCATAGAAAATCAATGGACGAGCGACTTCTCGCGATATCGCTGCAGAAATCGCGGGATTAATCGCTCAGTGTGAATGGGCACTTAACCTCCTGCGGTGAGCTGACAACACAATGTCTCTGCTGCAGACACCCCAAGCAATGTTGTCAGCCCAGCTCAGTTCTCTGTGACTACAGAAAACCTCCCCCCATGTTATGTAGACAAAGAGTAGGGGGGAAAGATGCTCTGTAGACCAAATCAAGAGCAAGCAGCCCAAGATCACTGCTCTTCCGCAGACAGTACACCTAGTGTTGTCACCCTAAAACAGGAAATGTGTTACTGGCAGGATCACCAGGAGAAAGTAAATGAAAAAGTCTGAAATAAAGAAAAAACAAACAAATGCAGCCAGCACATCTTAGGACAGGTAAGCTGCAAAATACCAGATATTTGAATTTAGATACACATTAAGCACATGACATTTATAAATGTCATGGATCTCTAGTGGTTTAAATAAGCTCATGGCTGCAGCAGCTGTGATCCTGTCATGGTCTTAGGCCCCGTTCACATATAGCGAATTGTCGCGCGATTTCCGCCGCGATATCGCGCATTTTTGCCGCGCCATATCGCGAGAAGTCGCCGGCCAATGTTATTCAATGGAGCTGTCTTAACTCCATGTCGCGCGTCGCGGTCGCAAGTCGCTTCTACCGGACCCTTTTTTCTGCGGATTTTGCTTTTTTTCTATGGAGCCCGACGGGGAAGGTCGCGCTACCGTCGCTGGATCATCGCTGGAACGTCGCCCCGAAAGTCGCGCTATCCCGGCCGTGCGGATCCGCTGCAAAAGGTATGTCGCTAGGTGTGAATGGGGTCTAATAGAGCTGGCTCCCTGCGATCCAGTAAAAGTGACAGGGAGGCTGTAGAGCTTTTATGGGGCTGTAAAGGTGCTACCCCCCTATCCATGGTTCCCGGGCTCTCCCACTCCTCCAGGGAGCCAAGGACCATAATAAATGATGTCAGGATAGCGGGATCAAATCAGCATATGTGTCTTCATGTCTAAGACTGACATAATGAACATCTCAAAACACAGAGGGGCAGATCTGTTAAGATAGGACGGCCAGTGATGGCAATGCTACCCACATTAGCAGGGTACCTGTGTCATCACTGAGACAGATATATATACACACACACAGATGGGGGAGGGGATGCTGGACCTATACACACTGGCTATAGGCACCTAACCTGATAGCATATGGTTGAGTGCTTGATGATGACTGACACCCCAGACCACCTCAACCGCACATACACAGACTAGTACTCACAGTGTAACCCGGGACACATGGATGTTTACAGGCACCACTCGGTCTTTGAATGCGGTAGTGATGAAGCAGCCGAAAGTGAGTGCAGCCATGACACTGAGGGAGAAGGCGAAGAGGGAATTGGCCCGGGACAGAACGGTGTTCATGGTGCTAATATGACGGTGACAAGGGCCGCTGAGGGACGGGCAGAGTTCTTCCTGTCACTGGAATGGGAACCAGCTCAAGCTATGCTGACAGGAAGCCGGGGCTAACGCTGAGCTGTCTGTCTGACCCGAGCGGTCCTCCGTACAACGTCATTTCCTGCCGGCATTTACGTACACGTAAGGATTCGCCTGTCACGTGACGGGAAGCGGTACGCCATCTTGGGCTGTGTGGCGGGCGGAAGTGCCGACAAATATGTCTGCTGGTTCTGTGCTCCATCTCTCTTTCCAACTGAAGGATGGACTGATTGTTTTTTTGGGTCTAATATGCTCAGGGTTCGCGGCTCAACGAGTATAGGCAGCCGGGAAAATGCTTGATTTTGTTTTCAATGTTTGTGGAATGCTGACTTTGGGCAGCTGTACCATTGCGGCTCATTCTCGTTGATATGCATAGCCATACACTGCATTCTCAATGAAAGGGCACATAGAAACCAATTGTGTCCTGCTTTTCCTGTTAAAATCAAAATGAGTTGCATTAAATGCAGACATGCTGCATTGTTGTGCAGCGCAACTTTCTTCACAATGTGTCCAGAGCATTTTGTAACTCGCTGTGCATAGAATTGAATGAAGTCTAATTCTGTAATAGAGGTAAACGGTATAATGTGTTGCAGCAATGCATTGCACCATCCCTACATGTTGTACATCAGTGCTCATGAGCCGCAGGTCACCGATTTGAAGGGCTTCAGCTAGGGTTGCCACCTGTCCAGGATTTACCTGGACAGTCCAGATTTTGAATGCTGTGTCCGAGTTTCATGGCAGCTGAAACCCGGACAAAAGATGTCAGGCAGACGGGCAACCAAAAATCACAATAGGGGCTACTGGCCCCCCACTGAAAATAGTTTCAACTGTGATATTTACATATGAATGGGTGGAGCTATTTACATATGAAAAAAAGCTACGACTTGTTCTCCCAAAAACTTTTTGTGCGTCCCTAGAGTGTTTCAGATTTTGCTGGAAGAAAAGGTGGCAACCCTAGCTTCAGCTGATGTGCAACAATGCATGAGGAAAGGAATCTTATTTTCTATGGGGCCTGTCCACACCAATGCTTTGCACTACAATTGAACATTGAGAAGGTGCCGCTGCTACATGGTGTGTCTTTAGCCCTGTAGATTTCAAGAGGAGCTCATGGAAAACACATTCAAGATTTTCAGCATGTGGAAATGAGTGCTCATCATTTTCAGTTTTTTATTAAGTGTATCAGAAGAGGAATGGAGATCAGCTCTGAGTATGGTTGCCACCTTTCTTAAGTGAAACCCGGACACCCTAGCACCGTGCAGCAATTTTTTTGGGGGGGGG